TGATGTGCTCATTCAGGTTTCCCCGCCGTTTAAACAAATGGCCACAAATATCACAGGGGAAGTTTCGCAGATCTAAAACAAACAAAAACAACACACTGAGAGGCTTCAGTATACAAGAGACTGGGTTTACTTTCATTTACATTCGAGGATAATGAAAATTGCTAGTATATAAGAAATAACATCACTAGACTAGCGAAAGATTACGCTAGGAAACGTTAACAAACTCTACACAAAGTGATATTCCGAAAATTCACGTTTCTTAATCTGCGACTTCACGATATTCACGTATTTCTGCTTGTGACCTTAACACGTAAAATAAGCAGGTCGAGGTCCAATGATTGCCTCGTAAGCGGCAAGTTAAATATATCATTTTGAGAGAATTTTTGAAGAATCAGTATCAGTTTAATCAGGGATATGTAGGTAGATTACCTATGAGTTCCCTATTTCCACATGTGTGTCGCGGTAGCAGAAAAATGGTATTTCAGTCTGTTGGGGACGCCAATTGTCCTGACTCATGATGATAAATAAAGACGGTCAAAGTTTTTTTAAGTACAGAGTTTGAGTTTAGCGTGGAGATAGGTTAGCAAAGAGTTTGAAAATATGACGGCGCTAGCACTACCTGTGCGTCCACAGAAATTGCAAGCAAAAGTCAACTATGAAGAAAGAATCATGCGACGCCACTTGCCGTAAAATTGTCCAGTATTCATTAAAATCTATTTTACAAACAATCCAAAAGTTGCATGCAGCTACTGAAGCGACAAACAAGCGGTTAATTCCACATGAGCATCACGGATGTCGATAGGTGGCAGGCAAAGAAACGGCCGAAGAATGAAACTAAAAGAAGGCTCACTTTTGTGTACACAATTGACGTGTGACTTCAGATCTCCGCTGTTTTTAAAAGAAAACCCACAAATATCACACGGGAAGTTTCGTATATCTGAAACAAAAGAACAACAGAGTAAAAGACATCAATTCATCAGAGGCTTGCTTGCTCCAAAGCCTCTTTTGCGTTCGAGGCAAATAAAAATTGACAGTCTACAAGAAAACCCACTATATTAGGGAAAGATCGCACTAAAGTAATATTCCGAAAATTAACGTTCACGAATCTACGACTTCCGATATTCGCGTATTCTTTGCTTGGAACCATTACATTTACAAAAAGGCACGCACAGGCCCATTGACCATTTTGTGAGCGTAAGTTTCACATATCACACACACTCAGATACAAGAAATTGTTAAGAATAAGAACAGTAATAAATACAGGTGGGTTGCGTCGAATTCCGGGAAATTAGATCTCGGCTTATGGTTGAGCTGAGGATTAGGTTAAAGGTAAGGTTTGGTTTGAGGATTATATCAAGGGTAAACTTTTGAGTTTTTCTTAATTTTGGAGTTAAGGTTTACCATAGGGTTAGACGTACAGTTTAGCTTTATC